AAAAAAACGACTCATCTGGGAAATTTCTACCTGGACAATTATCCGGCGCATCTAACGCATTTTAAGGCTTAACGATTGCTTTTTGTAGTAGTCATATTTTCCACATTCCCAACTCAGCGAGTGAATTGTACTTAAAACTCAAAAGCTTTGTTTAATCCCTCAGCTATTTTGTCAACTTCAGAATTATTCTTGCGTGAAGAGCGCCAGCAATCTTCACAGAATATTAGTGCATCATTATTCTACATAGACATTTACTTATATTTAGTTCGATTTCGACCACTTTTCTTTCAATATAAATATTTTTGAGACTATCTTTTTTTTCTGGGGGAGAATAAAAGTAAAAATTCTTGTGCTGAAGCACATTGACATACATACATACATATTTTCAATTCCATCCCAGTTTGGCTTACTATGGCCAAAACATTGTGTACATCTCGCTGAGCCGTCACTGTGCATTTGCATTTGCAAGCGTATTTACTGCGCCAACAAAATGACATGACAGCAACAGAAGCAGCAAAAAAAAAAACAAAGAATAGTGCTCAGAAAATTGAATTTTCTAACCTAAAAAATAGATTTGTTTGTGCTGCAATGGGTGGAAAAAAAAACATAATCGCTTGCATATGTATGTATAGAGAATATCGACTCTAATGCAGATACATATCTATGTACATACATGCTGCTTACATACGGGCAGTAGATGAACATTTAATTTTATTTAAAAGCAAATGTTTTCAAAGGGCGGAAAATAAAAGTTTCGTTTATGGAAGTCGGTAAGCACTGTCGGTGATGACAACAAATAAATAACCCTAGCAGCGATAATAGAAAAAAGTTCAGATGTTGCCAAAATGCTGCAATAATAACTGGATGTACACGAAAAAAAATCTATACATATTCAGGTCATAGTACATGCTTACATTTCCTAGGAAGCATATAACTGACAATTACGCAAGAGACACAACATGATTTAAACAAAAAAAAATGTAAAGTTTTTTTGTCTAACATAACACGCCCATGAACGCTTTCAATTGTACTCATTTGCCTTTAAAATAAAATAAGTCACAACCAAAGGTCTACCTACATACATATGTATATGTATTTTAAAGTGAACAGTGACAGTTAAACAGTCATAAAATGCAAAAACATAAATTTGCGTACAAACTATTATTGGTCGACATTTCGCGCATGGTTGACTCTCAAACGATCTGTGCTCCTAAATACATAAAATTTTGGCTCTGTGTCGTGCAGGCCACACACATTGTTGCCCCGCGATGTTCTACTTCATTTGCATTGGTACGGAAATGCGCATTTTTACGCAAACACGCAAATGCAACATTATTGACGCAAATAATCATCAAAAATGTTATTAGCAATTTTGGCGTTTAGTTTCTGTTGCCGATGCCGATGCCATCACCGCTGTTGCTGTGAATAATTGAAATGACTGACCGTTTGCTGTCATTGTGCCACAATTTCGTTATGGAAGAATTTCGCCGCTGCAATTTCTTTTTTTGCTATTCGTTGGTGGCAACCAGTGTTGCAGCCGCTGACGCAACTGTGTGCGTTGCCAATCACAACGCTGGCGGGGCACAGTGAGGCGATAATAGATGAGATTCAAAGTGAAACAAATACATAGATTCGAAAAGACATTTCCACAATGGAAAGTTATGTTTTAAATAGTTTTGATACCGTAATTCGGTAGTTTGCTACGCTTGTATTTAGGTGGAAACGGCCGTAAGTTTTCTGCTTTTTATCATAACTAAAATGCTTACGTGGTAAGGTCTATGTTTATCCCAGATGCCTCAAATATTATACATACACACTTACATACATGCTTCAGTTCTTTTTCATTGAAAAATGTATGGTGTCTGCCTCCATAAGAAGAGCGTTGCGGATAGCTCTTGCGTCTAGTTCAGTTTTAGGGATCCTGTGACGAAATCAGCTGCCAGTAGCACAATTTTACTCCAACTGAGTCTTAGGAGCCAGCTCATTTAACTAGCTATACTATTATGAATACGTGCGAAGCGCGATAAATGCTTGCATTCTCGTATCGATGTTTGTCGTATGGAATCCGATAGTTAGCGTAGCTGATTTGTGTTGGTTCACAATAAAATTCACAGTAACACTTCTGACGGTCGTATGGAAACGACAATACGAATACGATCGTGAGTAAATTATAGGGGATCATTTGACTCATGTATATCTTACTGTAATTTGTATCTACATATATATTAATACGCTAACATAATCTTTGTTATCGTTCATTTGGCATTCAACTAAACCGATTTTAAAACCAAGGACACCTTTGCAAAGGTATTTTTCTGTAAATGAGGAGAGTTTTTATCAAAAGTGGTTGAAAGTTACGGCCAAAATTGTCGTATTTGTGTATATGTAGTTGTTGTTGCAAACTGTTCAATTCAGCTAACATTTTTTTTCTATGACCAAATTGAGAAACATATCACAATGTCAAGCTGAAATTGATAATGGTGCCCAAATTACGAAATTTGGGGCTCGTGGAAACGTACTTTTACTTTGGGTTTGAAATTCAACTTTGCAATAAAGATAAATTTGATGATGAAGAAATAAATGATAACGATTAAGACAAAAACCTGAAGGAAAAACTCAAGATAATAACGAAATTGAAATTTTGAGAAATCCATAAGATATAGGGTAATTTTTTATATTTATCGATATGAAGCGAAATTAATTCAGTCATAAAAAATTTAGTTATCGAGAGTTTTCAAGTTATATTCAAGTATTATAATTTATTAGAAATTTATCAATTATTACAATTTATCAAGTAATCGATATTTATCGAAACTCGAGAAATGCGAAGTTATCGAAATTTATCGAAATCCGTCGATTTATCGAATTTTGTTGTTATTTTAGTGCTATTTAAATTAATCGAGTTATCGCTATGTATCAAATGGTCGAAATTAATCGAAGAACTGGAATATATCGGCAATTTTCAAGTCCTGCCGAGTTGCTTCCCATTTAAAGAACAAATGACTTGAATTCACTATTAGTTGACGCGTGTAGAAGCAACATAAAACACAAACAAGACGCGAAAAATTTTATTTCATGACTTGATGTGTCTCAAAGGCTTATAAGTTAAACGACGTGCTAAGTTGGAAAACCCCTCCAAGGCTCTTAAAAAAATTAGAAAACGGTCGAATTTCGGCAGAATCTGGCATTCCTACTAATATGTAAATAGACTCAATCTCTTTTTCATGCCAAAGGCTCCAACGAAGTTGTAGTCACATATGTATAGCAATAAAGAATTATCTCAATCTGAATGTCAATCGCATTTTTTAATCTTAATATTTATCCTAATAATCTTAATATTAATATTATTTATATATTAATCATATCTTGCACCACGGAGGGCCATAATATTTTGGAAAGGGCAAAGAATATGCCTTTTTACTAGAGTGTGAGATTTTAAATAAATAACACAGAATTTTCTTTGCCTTTACTTTAGAATCAAACATGAAATGAGAAAGGTGCAATCAAAAGGCGACATTTTTTTAGAAACAAAAACACCATTAAGCACTAAATTATTTGTTAGCGATGAATACTAAAGTACTATGATATTTCAGAGATTTCTAACAGTTCAAGACAAGCAAGAATTATAGGTAATTTAAGCTTTTTTTTGAGTACTGACGATGTAATTAAATGCTTCGCGATTTTCTAAACATTTAATTTTTTTTTCTGATATTTTTTTTTTACTTTCTGGGATTTTTAAGAGCTTTTTGGTTTTTAGCACTTTCCTCAATTTTATGTTTTGTGACTTTTCTTTATTTTGGTATTATTTCCAGATTTTCGAAAATTCTCGGTATTACTTCGTTATACGGTGTTTAAGAAGGGATAAATACTAGGTAATACTTTAATTCTGGCTATTTGTGAAGTCGTTCTCTAATCGAAAGTTACAAAATACTTTTTTCTCAGTACTTACTCCAGCGAAAATAAGTAAATATATTAGCATTTAGTAAAATTAAAGTAATAATCTGAGTATGATTTGTATGCAAAACACCATATTCAACCCACAGTGCCTTCGTAGTATGTGAAAAGTGTTGTGAAAAATAAAATATTTATTGAAAAGTATAACTTTATTATATCTGACATTCATATTTGCATACATTTTTATAGGCCATCGCCGGCGAAATCGGAATGGACAATGTGCTGGACAATATCGCCAATTCGCTGTTCAATGGACTGTTGCCAAGCGATTGGCGCAAACTGGCGCCGGACACATGCAAGCAGCTCGGCAGCTGGATGGAACATTTGCAGGTGAAGATTAAATGCAGAAATGCATTTTGCATTCTTGCAACCTACACAGGCCGTAGCTAAGTTTTTATTTCATTTAAAATATTTACAGTAAAGTAAATACGAACCACATACATTTTTTTTTTCTTTGATTTCATGTTTTTGTTTATTTTTTTTGTGGCAGCCTTTGGCTTAGTACCTGAACGGTGTTGTGCTAACGATTTTCATAAGAAGAAAGCAAATTTGAGAAAGGAGCGAGATTGTGCACAGCCATCAACTTCGTCACAAACCCAATCGTATGTGTGTATGTATGTAGGAACATTAGACTGCATCACTCTCTATAAAAAAAAAATCGGTACTGTTTTTCCATTAGAGTTATAAAACCTATTATATTTTAAGATTTATGTAAAATACCTCCCAATTTTTTTTTTTTTTATGAATACAATTTATTAAGGCATTTTTTTTTTAATTACATCGGATGATAAAAAACAGTTAAAGCTTTAATTTTCACAAAATGTGTTGGTATTAAAAAAAATAATGGGACGTAATTGAGGTTTTTTGCAAAGAAACCAAAAAGGTGAGTTTGGTATAGTTTTGCCTCATTATTTCAAGTTTTGCTTAAACCAATCTGTGAAAAATGGTTAAAAACCAGCATCAAAAATCTCATTATTATGCTTCCGTCGAAAATTTCTTTTAATATTTCTATGCAGATTTTTTAAGCTTAAACTGTTTTGTCATAAAATCCTTTAAGCAAACATTTTTATTCATAAAACTCTCAATTAAATCATAATATTTTTTTTCGAACTATTTTGGTGGACGTCTTCAAATGTAATATATTTTGTAATCCCGGTGAAAAAAACCGCAACTTTTATTGGGGATGCAGTCTAATGTACACACATACATAAATGCATATGCACATAAATATGCATAATCAGAAAAGCAAAAGTAAATAAACAATCCACTTATTTATGTTACATAAAATATTATTGTGGGCCAATGTAATATTACGTACGCATTCAGTGTTGTTGTGCTGTGATTGCTCAGTGCTCCCGCTTCCCTTTTTTTGTTAGCCCACAGCCATTCCCGTTGGTTATTTTAACCGTTGCTGCCGAAAACTGTTAATATGCGCTCATTAATCACTACGGTAATGGTAAATGGCTTTGCCATCAATATGCGGTCGGCCAGTTTCATCTATCAATCACAAACGCTCAGCACCGTTAAGTAGCTCAACGGCTCAACAAACTCAAAGGAATGGCGGAGAAAAATCCAAAGCCATCACCAAAACAATTTATTAATAATTTATTTTGTTTCCGTCTTTCCCGTTTGCACGAATTGTTTCCTTGGGCACCTGCTGCAGAATCGTTCTACACAATTCAAGTATTGGGCCATGTCAGGTGAACCGTTGGTGATCTGGTTGTCTGGTCTACATATTCCGCAAAGTTATCTAACCGCTTTGGTGCAGGTGAGTTATGCGCTGTGATATATACTACAATGATAATAAAAGACAAAAAAAAAATTGAAAAGTGGCTAGCAAATAGTGGTTTAGAAAAAAGCCCTAAAAAATACGAAAAATAAAAATATGAAGAATAATGTTTATTTAATGCACACTTAAAGAGGCTTATCAGAGATAAAAATTAAAATATAGAATTTTTGACGTTAGAAAAAATGTTAAAGTTTTTTTATTGAATATATTTTCAAGCGTTTGTTTTATTAAACAGGCGGAGTTTGGGAGCATATAAAAACTACATATAATAAAACTGCGTGCTGGAAATTTAATTGGACTGGCACTACTCATTTCCATCTAGCTAGCGTCTTATAGAGAAGCCACATTGAGGTACTGTTTAGTCAGAAATCGCTTTATCCAGCCACTAAACGGCCATTTAATGCAGTATAAGTAAAGATCCCCGGCCGTTACTTGGTACAATTTTGAGACATGGGGCTAATAGACTATTGGTGGAGTTCGCCGATCCAAACAGCTAGCTCACATCTCCTTTTGTTCTGGCCCCGTCGTTGAGCCTGACGATGTCTCATTACCAGGTACTCCGACTGATCTGGCACCCAGGGTAAAACAAGTTGTTGTGTACTTCAACACGATTTGGTCTAGACTTAGATTACTGAACTAGGTTTGAAGTATTTAGACATATGTATAAACTCGCTCTCTGTTTTCAACCACGTAGTCCACAGCCTTTTGCAGGAAAATCTCCCATACAACACACAACGCAATCGTCGTTTGCAGTTTGGTAAACAGGTCTCCGTCCAGCTATATGGGCGTTCGCCTCGACTCCTATAGGGCCTGAGCGCTTCCTTGCGCTCGGAACTAGCACAATCATGGAAGAGCTCAGGACGGGGAGTAACAGACTCAGAGAACAAAAGTGGGGTAACATCGTAGGTCTACAAGCTGCAGTGTTATCACACCACATAGAGGTTAAGTATAATAACGGTTGATCTGATGGGTCACTCCAGACAGCATAAGCTAAATATCTGGTCGAAGGACTTACATCGCTTCTGTCATTCGATCGAGAAGACTCCACTCCCCCTGCTTCGCGAGTGCGAGGTGTTTGCAAGATATAATGTATTTTTCGCAGCGTAGTATTGCGAATGACGCACTAGCCATTTTAAAAAATTATTACCAAATGTTGGCAAAAAAAAATACTTTCGGGGCTTGCTACTCTCTGTCAAAATTTCCATAAAATTTCATCAAAAACTTTTTCTGGTTTAAATAATATTGCAAAAATAAATGTACATTATACGAAATTATATTAAATACTAAATATTTTAAGACTCTCTCATAACTCACTTTTTTTGCTTAAACTCTTTGCCTTATCAACCGCAGATGGCATGTCGTAAAAACGGTTGGCCGCTAGACAGATCCACCTTATATACCTGCGTCACCAGCTACTTAGATCCTGATGATGTGGAGGAGCGGCCAGCAACGGTAAGTACATATGTACAAAGACAAACAGCCAAAACCGCCAAAAAAATTACACATGCATAAGTGAAAAAAAAAAAAAAAAGTATTGGGAAAACTCTCGCGCACAGGTCGTTGATTCGTCCATCAGCTTTTTTTTTGTAGTACTGTGACCACAACATATCATCCAACCATCTACGGTAAAAGCTTCACTGATTTCCATATGTATCAGGCACAGGCTCACAAAAGTCAGCTACAACCTGAACTTCACTAATTTCGCAATTAAAAATTCTGTTTGCGCTGACCCATCCGTTCAACGCAGCATCCAAATAAGCTTGCGCGCGAACAGATGCACACTTACGAGTATTTACATAAGCTTTTTACAAAAAAAAAAAATCTCTTTTTTATTTTGTTTTTGCTCGTGACCGCTTTTCGTTAAATTTCGCCTCCACCGCAATGACGGACCACGCGCACATCGTCGCCAACTACAATAATTACAACAATGCTGTTGACAACCACCTTTACCGCTGCTATGTTTGGTTGTGTGTGTGCGCAGGGCTGCTATATTCAAGGTCTGTTCCTGGAGGGCGCACGTTGGGACATGGATATTATGCAACTCGCACGCTCACATCCTAAAATATTGGTGGAAGAACTTCCTATTCTGTCTGTGGTACCGATAGAAGTGCACCGCCTCAAATTACAGGTGAGTAAACTGAAGATACAAATTATGCGTAGTTAGATTTTCGCATTGCATACTTATATCGTTACAAGTACTTGCACATGCTGCCATATATGCATATATGCACAGTGACTCACAGAATTATTTTGCGATATCGCTCATTCTACAACTAAAGCCATTTAATTAAATCAAAATTTCAAACATTGGAGAAAGTAAGGAAAATTCACGAAATTTTCATCAAAATTTCACACTTTTTATCAGATGTTTTACAAAAAATTTTAGTGTACAGTTTTTTAGACCACTCAATCGATAACAAAAACCGATAAAAATATCAATAACAAAATCGATAAAAAATTGATGTAAATATCGATAATAAAATCGATAACAAAATTTATAAAAACAGCTATAACAAAATCGGTAAAAATATCGCTAAAAATCGATAAATAAGCAATACCAAGATTGATAGAAATATCGATTACAAAATCGATAAAAATATCGATAGATAAATCTATAAAAATATCGATAAAAAATCGATAACACTATTATTTAAAAAATCTCTAAAAATATCGTTTACAAAATCGATAACAAAACCGATAAAAATACCGATTATTATATCGATAAGCTCCAAAAATAGCGATAGCAATATTGATACAAATTTCCATAACAAAATCGATGAAAAAAATATATATAAATAAATAAATTTTGGTAAAAAATTTACAAAAAAATTTTTTGAAAATGGGCGTGAACCCACTTATGATAAAATTCTGTATCTCAGTAGTCGCTTCACCAATACTTACTAAACTCCGTACGAGCCTTTCCTAGGGTCTAGCCTGGAAAACTGTTGAAAATCTTTGAAATCGGGCAATGACCACGCCCATCTACATACATATAACGGTAATTTACAGAAACGCGGAAAGTGCGATATATCAGTAACTATTTAAGCTAATTCACTTAAAATCAGTGACTGCAATAATCACTTAGCCGAAAATTAGATTATTATAAATGTGTATCTCGGTAACCGATTTATCAAATTCTATCAAAATCGCTGTACTTAATAACCTTGGTACGGAAAACCAACGGTAAATTTCAGAAATACGAAAACTCCGATATTTCAACAACTGATCACGCCAATTTACTCCAACTTAATAGTTACAACAATCTCTTAACAATAAATAAGACTGCTACAGGCTTTTAGGAATTGGGCGTGGCACCGCCCACTTTATGACTTCAAAGTTGTATCTCGGTAACCACTTTATCAATTTCTCCCAAACTTGGTTCAATTATATCATTAAGTCTAACTCAGAATCTTATCGAAAACGTTTGAAATATTGCATAAACGCTTGTGGTTTAATACAATTTGCACGAATTTTAGCACGAAATCATTCATTTTCAATTTTTTCCTATTGAAATGGCAAACAATTTTTATTTCCAACACAAAAAAGTAAACAAATAACGATTTCAAAACGGCAAGCGCCTTACAGTGTTGGGCGCTTTGTTTCATGAAGCTTTTATGATTAGGTGAAAACATGATTATGAATCGTAATGTACAGAGCTTCATTGAAATACATGTGCTCGGCATAAAAGCTTCATACTTTAGTATGCCGAAACGATTACACTACTATGATTAGGCGCTTAATGTGCGGAGTGCCGTAGTTTAGAGAAAGTTGAAAAGGCGATATTTGATACCTGCGCCGGGTATATAAAGTTCGATGTCTGTCTAAAATTTTAGTGAATTAAATCTATATCTTAAGTAAAATATTGCAAGGCGTTTATTGAATTGAATGAATTTAAATGCACTGTTAACCTGGACTCATAATTTTGTTGATGGTTGCCAACTATCTACAAGTTTTAATCTCTAAATATATGTATAAAACAAAGTCGTCTACATAACTCTAGAACGGATCGTTCTTTGTGAACTGTCTACCATGTTTGTCTCTGTCCGAGGAAACTTCTTACGATGAGAAGATTGAAAAAAAAATACCCAAAAATAGAAAATTCTTAAAAAATTGATTTCCCATAGATTTTGTATAGGAAATTTTTAATTTTTTTTTAATGTTGATCATAATTTTACAATATAAATGGTTGCCCAAGCTCAAAATTTTATCACTGCTATAAAATTATGCAGGTTAGGTTAGAGTGTTGTGTAAATCCTTGCGGTCCGCTGGTGTTTTTTATAAAAAGTAACAAAAAAAATATACCATGAAAACATTTTGTATATCGAAAAAAAATTAATACAAAATAATTTGTATATGTTACTAATCTACAGATCTAACTTTTACTACATTAGCTACAGGGGACAATTAGTTACTAATATTTACCGAAAACACTTCCATCTATCTTCTCCCGAACCGTCCGTTCACTGTGAATTCACTTAGTCCCTACAAGCACATTCTCAGCTCACCCCAAAGCGTAACAGCTTCCTCACCTTATATGCCAACATTTGCTCCTCATTTTCTGAACTTATTTTGCCTCTTTTTCAGCACAAAAACATTTAACACTTGTCTGCTTTCATTTTGTTACATTTTTTTCGGGGGGTTTTTAATCACTTCCGTTTTGTTTTTCGCATTCATTTGCTCATTAACATAATTTTTACTTTTCTAAACAGGACACTGTTGTTGTTTTTTAATTGAATTTTTCCCTTTTTCGTCAACTTTTCATTCAGAATACTTTCCGCGCACCTGTTTACACCACTTCACTGCGTCGAAATGCTATGGGTGTGGGACTGGTTTTCGAAGCTGACCTGGCCACCACAGAGGACATCAGCCACTGGGTATTGCAAGGTGTTTGTCTCACCCTCAATCGAGATTGAAGATTTTCATATATTGTTATTATAGTATTTTCTGTTTTGTTTTCTGTCCAACTTTTAAACTTACTATTTATGTAATACGTGTGCGACGTGAATTTCCTAGATTTGTGTGCAGTTATTCATGACTTTCTTTTAGTTCAATAAATATATACATATGAGACTGATTTTGAGTAAAAACTTTTTGTGCGCGAATTCTTAGCAAAGGAGGCTTCAAAATAAATGAAAAAATTTTAAATGTTTCACTAATTTTAAATTGTTTTGAAACCTTAGTTCAATTCTTTAGACACGATCAGCTTATTCGGTGTTTGTGGAAGTTTTCTAGTGGTGCTAAATTATCCCAGAATGGGCAGTAAGGAGGTAGCCACTATTTCCAAGGGTCACTTGCTGCAAGCCAAGGGCGTAGCCAGGACCTTATGTACAAGGGATCAAGTTAATACTTATATCGAAAGAAACTCTTCCAGCAAAGGGTTTTGTACCAAGTTTGAGGCTCGTTAGGTAAAATCAAAAACAAAAAAAAAAACAGGAAAGAGAAAAGTATTATAAAAAAAAGGAGAAAGGAGGGGCAGAAAGTCGCGAGTGTGAATAGCTTGAGATGCGGACAAGCAGGAACGCGGCGCGAAAATTGTATCAGAAGAGACAGGTGGTGCGTTTGAGCCTGTTTCAATATATCCACGCAGGCTTCATGTGGAAATGGAGAGCATATTTACAAACTCGACTACGCACACAAATTTCTATTTTTTTATTTACTTATTGGCTGCGTTTCTTTATACATACATTCCGGATAATCCCATTTCACAGCCGGAATAAACAGAATGCGTTTGAAATATACGTCAACATATCATCAGGAACGTTCTAAAGAATAAATAAACAGAAAAGTTTATTCCAAACGTTCAGAATGAATAAAGAAATTCAGCCATTATAAAATTTTTAAAATTTCACTTTATCTTGAAAACTTTATAGGGGTACAGCTGTCTTCCCCTACCTGGCTACACCCTTGTTCTGAGCATTCCCTATGTAGAGCATTTGAGAGTTTCTGGATTATTTAGTTTCACATTCAAGTTAATTTTATATTGCATAATTATTATTTGGTACAAATTCTACTTCGGGAATCTGAGGGAGAAGGCATCGAAACTGTAGCCATTCCAAACTAGTAATAGAGTAAATAATCGATTACTGAAGACAAAACGTCTCAAAATATTAAAAAAAGAGCTTCTAAATGAGCGTTATATTGTCGATTTTTAAGGAATTTTCAACGTCAAAAATTTTTCGAACATCTCGCCTTGGCGAATTTTTTTATTTAGCCCGAGGGCTGAAAATAACAGATTTTTTATTAATTTTTTTTTTATTGTCAAACTTGGCCAAAGTCCGAAGTAAAAGTCCTTTCCGGATAATAAACAAACCGCTTATCCAAATTAAACCTGTTTGGTATCAAAGGAAAAGAGACTAAAATGGCTTTACAACGGAAATATTAAATTATAAACAAAAAATATAAATAGAGACGGTAACCTTCGTCCGTTATTTCTGTTTAAAAGCTATTTCAGTCCTCTTTCACTTGATACCAAATTTGTTTAATTTGAATAATCGGTTTGTTTATTATACGGAAAGGACTTTTATTTCGGCCTTAAAAATATTTGGCCAAGTTTAACTCTTAAAAAAAAATAATTGTTATTTTCGGTCCCTGATTTAAACGGTCTTTGCCACCGAGATGGCCCCTCTGATACTTTTGTTGATCACATCGTTTATCAAGGCCATGATTCTCCAACAACTATTACTTACAGTTTATTGGCTTCGTAGAAACCCAATGTTGACAAGGTAGGAAGATCACAAAGCAGGATTGCGATTGCTAAGGTAATCAGTCCTCGTCCATATCGATCTCTTTTTAAGGTGAATGCTTCGCAGAGTTCCCTGAGTTCGATGGAAATGACTCTATGGAAATAATAAATACACGGGCATGGGCATGTTCTATCAATGATCCAGGTATTCGCGAAAAATTAGACTACATCTGACTTCGCTTCTCTTCAAGAAAACACTTCAGAACGATATATACCGACGGCTCAAGAATGAATTTTGCGGTACAGCATAACTTATCATATTTTCATGTATAGCCAGCGCGTGGGCGCGTCGTTGCCTTGATCGTGTCAGTCTGTGGTGGACCCACGGAAGGTATTTAGTATTAAGGAAAAAGTCTGTAGAAATCTGAGGAAATAAACAATTGTCGAGTCACAAGGACGAATAGGTAGTGAAAAAGCCTTTTTAATTATTTTTATGTTTTTGTTTAGCAAATAAAATTGAAGGACCAAATTCCAGGATGTGGTCGCATAAATATTAGTCTTCGGCATTTAATGTTTTCAAAAATAAATCTTGCAAATTTTCAATTTATTTCAAGGACAAAAAGATATTTACAGTACTAATTCTCCTATTTGATCCCCATATTGTTATTCATTGCACTAAATTTTTTGAAAAGTTTACTGAAGAAATAATGGGCAGTGTGCATAAAACCTAAACAAATGTTTTTTTTCTTAAAATTTCAGACCTTTTTTCGATTTGTTCAAATAAATTTAAGTGAAAGATACTTTAGTAAAACGCAATTGGCTAGTTTTTATGCATACGGCCCAATATCTTAAAGATTTCAAAATCCTTTCAAAAAATTCTGACGTCACAGAGAAAAATCTATTAAAATATATTGTCGTGCGGTGTTATCAAAGCAATCATTCTCTGTCGATTCTGGTGGGAAGGAAATCCACAAATTATTCACAAGCAACCATTGCATTCAGCTAAACTGACTTTTTGGTGTGGTTCTTGCTTAGGTGGCATCATCAGTCCGGAATTCTTCCAAAATGGAGGGAGATATGAGGAGTGCACGCGAACAAATTTGAATACAACAAAAAAAATGTGTGACAACATCAAGGCGCACGCCGCAAATACGAATGGTCCGAAATTATAAGCCTGCAAATAATGAGGGGCTTCACAATGTGATTTACCGGTTATGAAAACATCTTTCGAATCCCCCAATAAATTAAAACGCCCTTAAAAAGGGGCTACAGATTCTCTAACTGACTAATAAATCACAATGTATGCACTTTTGTATGTATGCACATACATACATATATGCATTGTATATGCTTGTATATTTTCTTTTGTGGTAGTTGTGTACATTTTGGCTACAACAGTATTTATTGCATTATTTTGAGTACTATTTTGTCGCCTCCTTAAAGTTTCCGCAGTTAACTTCTTCGATTACTGCAACCGAAACAGATTTTAACTTTCTCCAGAAAATTCGTCTTGCGCAGCGGTGGCAACAGCTCAAGATTTTGTGATCCGCTATCATCGGAATCCAAATCGGATTCTATAGTCATTTCTTGTATACTAAAAGTGTCGCTGAGTTCCGTTTTGCGCTGCCGATGCGCATTTTTCAGTTTGGCAGGAAAAAAAGAAATTTCCTCTGGCTCCTCGCTGCAAAACAGTAGAAAAAATATATATCGATCTTTCGTGTTGAACGTACGTACGTATGTAGGTAATTAAAATTTTAGTAGAGTCATCATTTATGCAAACCTGCTATCGGACTTATAATCTACAAGTGGTTTCTGCTCAGAATCGCCTGGTATGGGCAACCGATTAATTGGTATGAGATTCGCAGATTGTGATTTGCGTACCTACAATGCGAAAGTGAAATAACCAATTCAATATGCCAGCTTTTACTACAAAAACGTATTTGAAACTTGTCAACTCACCTGTTCCTGCTGCTGGTATTGGCTGTAGTTGCGCTTCGCTCGCTCCACTTTCAGCTCCAGCTTGCGCTGCAGGATGCGACAGGTGTTTGGTGCTGGCTGTGCGCTATTCGCTGTGCTATCATCGCTATCGCCAGCTGATGCTGTTGCATTGGTGATGGTTGTCCTTGTCGCTGACGTTGACGTTGACGCTGTCAACACTTGGCCGCCGCCGCCGCCACCGCCACGGAAGACTACATCCAAATCAGCCATATGGCTAACCGCTGACGTATCGCATGCTTCAATCGTCGTTGTTGTTGCTGGTGCTGTCATTTTTTGTGCCACTTGCTGTAATTAATGCAAATGTTTTGCAAATATTTCCATTGTCTAAAACGTATGTATGTATGTACATAAGTAAATATGCACATACGATTAGAATTACATATAGTACTCACCGCTGGAGATCCTTCACAGGTATTCGATTGCTTGTCCTCACTATCGATGCCGCTATCCTCCATCATAGGCATTTTTGTTGCCTTGAACTTGTTGGCAAATCAATTTTCTAAAATGGGAATATCTTTTGTTTGAGTGCAATTTGCTTTTCCTTCTGTGGCTACAATGGCATTAAATATGACAGAATGCCAATGCAGCTGGGTTACTGCGCATGTCCACACTGTTATCAACAACAGCTGTACGCGTAGCGTATAAGGGAAGTTTTACTATTGTGAAAATATTGATTTTTCCAAGCGTACAGCATTGCCATAACAAACATTTTACGTGCACGGCGTACTTTTTTGGTAAGGAAATCCATTAGCCGCTATTTGGTAGATAAATTCGGCCCACTATTTTCAATGTTGCCGGCAAGTACTGGATAACAACTGCTCTTATGTTTCCGCCGCAAAATTATAATATTCGTTATTATTTCAATATTCGCTTTGTATTGTACATATGTGAATATTTGCCAGCCGAAATCTTACGATTTGATAAGAAGAAATATGATATGCGTCTTTTTTTTTAACCGGGAATATGAAAACAAATTCGTGGATGTCCGAATGTAACAGCGAAACTCAGATTCGTTTAATGATTACTTAGGGTGTTCCTCAAAAAAATTAAAAAAAATTGCATCTCAGATTTAGACAAAGAATCATTGCCTTTTGTTGAACGTTGATATTCTTTAAGTTTTGTGTTATCGAACTCATTAGGAAACCGAGCCACAATATGTGCTCAGGACATATCTTCAATAATTTCGTCTGCTTCTTCATTACTTTATATATCGTCGTTTAAATTTCAAAACCGCGTATCGTCATTCTGCAAAACCGCGCAACTGACATTTGCTGCAAAAAATTGGATTTGCTCACCGAAGCTCTTGGCTCAATCCTTATTCATTCGTCCTGAAATATGCTAGCCAGAAATGTGATTGCTTTGAAATACTTTCCCAATAACCAATTTAGCAGCACATGTACACGAATGAAAAGCTATTCTGATCTAAATTAAACAATAGACCGTTTTTTAGTTCCATATGGCAATGTGTTTTTACCTCTTTGGGACAAATGCTATTAAATTTGACATAGCGAAAACCAGCCTTAACTTCCACCGCTATCTTTTTGGACCTCAAAACTCTACCCTCAATATCAACGAAAAATATTTACTTCAAAAAATAATTAACAAGTGGGTTTTTAATGCATGTTATACCTTTAATGCAATAAATTATTGCAAAAGCATTCATTTAAAAATTTTAATTCAGAGTTAGTGCATTGCGGTAAGGCTAAATATCATCGATGGCCCTTACTGCATCAGCTGCTTGGAGGATGAGCAGGTGGAGTCATCTCGACAACTGCAGCTCTGGTGAATTGCCTTTGCGTGCCTAAGGTTCAAGGTTTCGATGAGCTTTCGGGAATGGGAACAAGTCGCTTGCGGAGCTTCGTGGTGAGCATGGATCGTTTTTTCAATTAGAAGCCTTAGATGGGGTCGTTCCTTTATTTCTTTCCCCCTCCTTTTCTACCTTCGCCCACCCGGCTACTTTCCGATGTCTTTGCCTCCATCTACGTGAATCCACTGTATGTGAATCTTGTGATCAATTCATCCTCCGCCAAATAAGCAAAAACCTTATGTTTTCAACTTACTGAGTTCATTCTAAATTTTTAGTCCAACTTCTCGAATACAAAACTCTCTTTTACATCATTATACTCTTTTACATCATTAGTTTATTTACAAAAACTTTTTCAACATTTTCTTTTAGATTGCTCATACATACATACATATGTATCAATGCACAAATCTCTACTATTTACGTACAATTAAAAAATAAAAATAAAATCGTAAGGCACTTTGTAATTACAAAACATATCGTTTAAATTAAAATTAATTTCAAAAAGGTAACTCAGAAAATCGTCTATGAGTAAAATCCCTCTTGATCGTTTTATATGAGTATTAGTACATTGGTTTGTGTGTGTAAGTGTGCTTGCGTGTGACCTTCGATTTCTACATAGGCACACATATTTACAGTTATTCGGTATGTAGTATGCATGCATGTGTTTGACTTATCCGAACCGGACAAACGGACACAATAAATAGGAACAAATTAAAAACTAAAATTCTATTTTATAAATTTATGTATGTATGTAGTTGTATATGTATAAAAGCTATTCTTCTTCTTAGTATTTGCATTTTTTGTGCGTGTGTGTGTGTGTGTATGTGTTCACATGAGCGAAAAACTTAGAAGCTGTTGCTGTTGATGTGATTAAGCTGAGGATAGCTGAAAACTTGCAGCTCGTTTTGATCGAGCTGAGTCAGCTAAAGGTGTGCGTGTAAAGTGTGAAAATCATTTACTTTTGTAATTTTTATTTTTTTAAATACCTAATTTTAGAGCGGAAAATACTAGTTTGCTAAATTTGTGCGTCGATTAAATGTTAATAGTACTGTTAATTATTTTTATTTTTTTCTTTTGGAATTTTAACTGATTTGCTGTCGCCAAAAAGACAGCCAAAAAATGCATGTTCGTAGAGTAAAGCATCAAGCACGCTCTAGACCGCTTATTCACTCAGGTAGCCTTCTATCTACACGGCATTCGGATGTGGATACGTTATTTGGCCAGCTAGCGTACATGATCGGCAACAGAACTTAGCGTAGTACCGATGACCACAGTAGCGACCGCTGACAATCAGCTCACACTTCGCAAAGTATGGATTATCTACGCAATCCGGATGGATCGGTATCGTGGCTGCAGAAAACAAAGGCAAAACATAACAATTTTACGAAATTTACAAGTGTACCGCATTGAAGATGAGAAACTACTTACACTCAATGGTGATGCGCTCTTCGCTGGTGTTATAACTCACGGAGTTTCTCGCCGTGCAACCATACATGCCAGTATCCTCGGGTGTGGCATTGTTTATCACCAGCGTATGTGGCTCAACTGTAATTTGTATGCGTTCGTTCGCCTGCAGCGGTATCGAGTCCTTTGTCCAGGTCACATTCGGTGCGGGGTAGCCTTGCACCGAGCACTGCATGGCAATGGACGCGCCCGGGCTATAGGTGTTTCTGGGATCCAATGCAAGCACAGCTTGCGCGGTCACTGTGCAAATTATGCAAAGCAAAGAGAAGGAATTAGTTAAGATCGTAAATATATTCTACCCAGGCAGCAACTTCTTAAACACATTCAACAAATTTAACGATTAATCTAGGAACCCCACCAAGCATTTAGCCCACATGCAGCCCATCGTACTTACTCGTTTGTGGCCGGCGCGGTGGTGCGACATACACTGGTGGCGGTGGTGGCTGTGGCCGTTGTGGGCGATATGGATATGAGGGTCGTTGAGTGACTGGCGCGCGTGCTGGATCTATGATATATTGCAGATAGGGCGCTTCATCGTTCGTCACGGCGCGTGCTGGCCCCACTGCCTTTAGAACAACTTTCATGGACGTCGGACGACCTAAGCCATTCCAAACTTCACAAGTATACGGACCGAGATCCGTCAATTGTATGGAACGGAACATTAGCGAATAGTCGCGCGTCAACTCGAAGCGATCACTTATCAAGCCCAAACGTTTGCGATTACGCCACCAACTGACATGCGGCGCAGGATGACCACCAGCCGGACAACGCACCTGCGCAGGTCGATTCAAGCTAACAATTTGTGTCGCATTCTTTTCGCCATAAACGTAAGCGGGTATCTCTTTTGGCTCTACGTTTGTGCGATTGCATATAAGAAGCAAGCATTTTTTTTTTTTATTTGAGTGCGTTTTGTTAGACAAGGCATAGACAAGCATTAGCAGATGCAAAACATGCAAAAAAATGTAAATAAAACACAAAACACATGCGCCATATTAGTATAACCAACACCGCGTGCTTAAAATGGAGGTAGTCTCAAACCTGTCACTGCCAGCTGCACTGCGCGACTCACTGGATCGCCTAGGCCATTGGACGCTACACACACGTACGAGCCGCTGTCCGTCTGACGTACCTGCACAATCGTCAAATCACCGGCGGCAGTCAGAACATATCGTCCTTGATTGGTGTCGATCTGCGGGCAGAGCGCGTAATAAAAAAAAAAACTCATACTAACGCAGACATAAACTCAACCGCAACATGCGTAAATTTATAGCATAGTAAAGGCCATAAATTTCGAGCTTTTCCCCGCCGTACTTACCAGCACATTGCTGCGCGACCATGTAACATTCGGTGGTGGACTGCCAGTAGCGAAGCAACGCAACACAGCGATTCCGCCAACGGCGGCCTGCACATCCACCTCTTGCGGTTTCTTGGGTTCCAGTGCAACCTCTACATCACCTGGGTAGATGACAGCTGGCGCAGGTGTGGTCGGGGGCCGTGGACGGGATGTTGGCTGCGTAGGGCGTACGCAAACAAAGCCACAACCATTGCTGCAACACTTGTTGTCCTCACGACAGTCGGCATCGGTGTAACATTCACGACCGCAGTTTTCCTCTTCTGGCTGACTGAGATGTGGGCACTCGCCGGTCTTGTTGGTTTCGCGGCAGACGGGCATGAATTGTCTGGATGCATCGCTTGACACGTCGACAGCGCATTGCTGGCCTTCGGGGCATTCGTGACGCTCGCAAGGATTCTCGCAAACGCAGCGCGTGCAATCGCTATTCTCCACCGGAACACGGCGTGAACCGAATGGACAGCGCAGCGCACGACATTCGTGCTCATAGGTGTCGCATGGGTTGGGTTCGACTTCGCTCTCGCTGGCTTCGGGCGTCTTTTCGGTTCCTGTGGGATGAAAAGGAGAGTTAGTGATTAGCGTGGATGGTGAAGGTAGGTGCAAATATTTTTTTTTTTTTATGTGCCAAAGGACTCCCACAGGAAAACCCATTACCACGTGCAAGACAATTATGGAAATGATACGAAAGTGCATTCAATCTAAGAACAAGTAGATAACAAGCGAGAAAACTTAAGCTATGCATTCCAATAAGATATTCTAAATTAACAAAGTTCGTATGCAGTGCGGTAGGAAATATAGGAGTTCGTGAAAGTGCGTAAAATAGTATGAATCAGTGCTAAATGCATGGGTGCGTACAGATGCATGGGTGCGTCGAGGTTTCATTGTGCCAAAATGTGTGATGTGTCACGTGTGGCATGCGCTTACTTGCACAGTAGTCAAAGCAAGCTTCGTATGTACGGAAATTGTTCTGGTTGCCAGCGCAACCCGAATAAATGAAGGATACACAGGTGCCGCGCTCGTCGTCATAGTAGTATCGGCGTTCGTAGGCGGTCGTACCGTTGCAACTTCCAATCTGTACCGGCAGCTTACAAATATCTACTCAGAAAAGTCAATACAAAATATTTAAAATTAATTTTTCCAAAAAATTCGTCCGCAACACGCCGACTACACTAACTACACACAAGCGATGTTTACCTTTAGGTGCGCGCGTCTTTGGTTCTTGACCTAAAATGCAAACTGACTCGCACTCTGCGCGTTCGCCGAAACGATTGCCGGTACCTTCGCAACCGCCATAGGTGAATGGTTCACAGGTACGCGACACCTTATTGTAATAGAAACGAGTCTGCCACTGACGGCATGGACCAGTTTCCACTGGTTCATTGCACACATCTAGCGGGCGTAAATATTTGTTTGAGTATTGGCATAAATATATTTCTTACGTAGGCCAAAAAAACATTCAGCGTAAATAAATAAAAAATTTTCGTCGGATACTCACCGACTCCCTTGAAATCGCCGCACTGGCGATCGCATTGCTCCTTCGATTCGAAGCGATTTCCATTGCCGCCACATCCCGAATACGAGAAGGCTGTGCAAGCCATCGACTCGCCATCGTAGAACCATGCCGCAGTGCTGTTGTCGCAATCACCGCGCTCCACAGGCAGATCACAAACCGAGTAGGCCTGCAAGCAAAGGCGAAAATGTGGAGCATTTGAGTACCTGAGATTTACCTACAACTATTTCTTAGCGCCCACTTACCGGCGCCGATGTTCCTGGCTGTGGCTGTTGAGGTGTCTCATTACCGCACCATTGCAGGCATTCCGACTCCGTAACGAAGTTGTTTCTATTACCGCGACAACCGGTGAACTCGAATTCGTAGCAGCGCTTATCACGCTCGTCGTAGTACCAGCGTACAATATGTTCGTTACATCTACCCGGCAGTGGTGGCAGTGAGCAGGTCGTTTGCACCTCAAAGCATTGATCCTGACATTCTTCCTCACTCCTAAAGTTATTCTGGTTACCTTCGCAGCCGCCATAAACGAATTCGTCACACAGCCCGTCGGCGTAATTGTAGTACCAACGTGTCTGATTATTGTCGGAGCAGCGGCCATAATCAGGCTGTAGTGTACAACCCCTGTCTTCGCGCGAATCCGGCACAGGTGCTGGCGCTGGCTCCGGCGCTGGTACCGGTTCCTCTTCGCCAAAGCGCACATTAACATCTGGCAGTGGTGACACACAGCGTGCATTACAGGCTTCTTCGGTCTCAAAACGGTTTTCATTGCCGCCGCAGCCGCCATAGTAGAATTGTGTGCAACGACCCTCGTCTTTCTCGTAATACCATTTCAATTCATAGTTATCGCAGTCACCCGGATCCGAAGCAGTTTCACAAACATTCGCAGTTACTGGCGCTGGTGCAGGCTGTGGCGCTGGCTGGCGCTCAGGAGCAGGCGCAGCAGGGGGAGATTGTATGGCGCAGAGTTGATTACACTCATCCTGAGAATTGAAGCGATTTGCATTGCCACCGCAGCCGCCGTAGTAGAATTGACGACAGGCTTTGGCTTCTCCATCATAGTACCACTGCAGTATGAAGGCACGGCAGTCACCGGCATCTGCGCTGTACTGACAGACCTCCTTCGAGGTGGGCGCTGGTGCCGGTGCGGGTTCTGGTTCTGGTTCGGGTTCGGGCTCAGGTTTCTTCTCGCAACGTTGCAGACAAGCTTCTTCGGTGGGGAACTTGTTGTCGTTACCGCCGCAACCGCCGTAGTAGAATTGACGACAACGCTCGTCCTTGGTGTCGTAATACCACATGGCGGTATAATCTGTGCAAGCGCCAACCTCGGCTGGTATCTCGCAAGTGTCCTTGGCTATTAAAAGCATTAACACGAAAACGGAAAAAAGTGTGAGAATGAAAAATAATTCAACTATAGGGCGTTATTGAATGGGAATGTCGATGGTATGGAAATATCTTCTTGAAACAACAATGAAAGCGACGGCTGCCACAAATATGTAAATGTGTCTTTTCATGTGTGGGTGGTGGTTGCGTGTTCGTGTGTGTATATGAGTATAATAATTTACAACAGCCTTACCAACTTCCTTGGGACAATGATCCTCGCACGACTCCTGGGATGGGAAATTATTTTTGTTGCCTCCACAACCTGTGTAGTAGAAGGGCATGCACTTCTTGTCCGCATCCGAGTAGTGCCAGCGCGCGTGTTGTTCACTGCAATCACCGGGTTGCTTAGGAAGCGAGCAATAATCTATTTCGGCAACAGGGTATGTGTGTGTTTCGTGGTGTAACGTAGTGTATTGTGTTGTTCGTGTAATAGTAGTAAGGTAAGGTATTAGCGGAAAAGGAGTAGAGCGAGCAGCAAGCAAACATGCAACATAACGAGTGTGAGAAAAGGAAAGCCAAACATTTAGCATACCGTTGAACCAAAATAAAAAAGGAAAAATATAAAATAAATAAAACATAAAGTAATGCTAATGCTATATAATATCTTATACACCGTTCGCGCCGACACCAAAGTCTTCATCCGCGCGGAAGGCGCTATTTAACTCATACCGCGTTCCATGTCATGCTTTCAAGTTTAGATCGAAGTCTTACAAACTCATGCAAAACACCAAAACCAAATTCCTTAACAACTTAAATACTGAAAGCAAACCTTTGTGTACGCCCGGCTGTCGGCAGTGATAGCTGCAGGCATGTTCGGTTGGGTAGTTGTTCTTGTTGCCCTTGCAGCCACCATAGCGGAATGGACGGCACACATCTGTCTGGTTGTCATAGTACCAACGCTCAAAGTCGCCCTCGCAGGGTCCGGCCTCCATGGGTTGGTCGCAGGGTGCTACAAAGAAACAGTTCAATATAAATCCACCTGATAAACGTCCCCGTCTCAACTTACGTGTAGTTTCATCAATGGCGCAGAGTGCCTGACATTCGGCCAAACTATCGAATCGATTCGAGGTGCCATAGCAGCCTCCGTAATTGAATTCCTCGCAACGGTTGCGTTCCGAATCAAAGTACCACTTTTTGTTGTAGCCCGTGCATGGTCCTGAGCTTTTGGGCAAGAAACAAGCCTCTTTGCCGCTATACTCTTGGCAGGTGGCCTTGCAGTCACCCTCGGTTTCGAATCGATTATTATTACCTTCACAACCTCCATACCAGAAGCGTGCGCATGCGCCATACGAAGTGTCAAAGAAGTACTTGATGCTGAAGTTACCACATGGTCCAGTAACCTTTGGCAGACCGCATGCCTTTTGTGGCGGTTCCTTAACCGATGCGCAGCCTTCGAACTTCTCACCTTCCGCCGCTGTAACACCATCAGGACAGCAGCCATATTTGCTCTCCAAACAAGTACAGCCCTCACCATTCGGTCCCTTGGCAGGCGTTTTCTCATCGGGGCAACATTTGAATTCGGTTTGTGAGCAGTGGCAGCCATAGTGGTGTGGTCCCTGTGCAATTGTAAGGCCATCGGGACAGCAACCGAATTGTAGCGTATGGCATGCGCATCCCTCAAATTTCGGTCCACTTGCAGGCGTGATTTTATCTGGGCAACAACCGTGGGGCGTTTTCTCACAATCACAGCCTTCACTGTCGGGTCCACGTGCTGCCGTCTTCTGATCGGGACAGCATCCATATGGTGTGTACTTGCAGTCGCAGTCCTCAAAGTTTGGTCCACGTGCAGCGTTAATATTGTCCGGGCAACAACCGTATGGCGCGTTCAGACAACAACCCTCACCCAGTGGTCCGTGAGCAGGGGTCTGATTGTCTGGACAACAACCGAATGGCTCTTGTGTGCATGGGGCGCAACCCTCGTAATTAGGGCCTGCAGCAGCAGAGCGGCCATCTGGGCAGCAACCATTTGGTGTTTGTGCACACGATCTGGTATCTGGTGCTGCTGGTTCACAACCTTCGAAATCTTTGCCTTTAGCTTCGGTGGTGCCATCTGGACAGCAACCGAATTCTCCGAAGGAGCACGATTTGACCACCTCTCTTTCTGGCTCAATAGTGCTTTCTGGAATTTCTGTGCTTTCTGGTGATATTGCACTTTCCGGTGTTTCGGTTGTTTCTCCAGATCCCTCTGTAACCTCTTCAACAGTCGTAGTTGGTGGTGCAGTCGTCGTTTCAGGACAGCCTTCATGGTCCTCTCCCTCAGCGGGCGTGTAGTTGTCTGGGCAACATCCGAACAATGTCTCAGCGCACTGTGATTTCGGACAGCCTTCATTGTTGGCGCCATCGGCTGGTGAAACACCGTCCGAGCAACATCCGTACTTGGTTTCAGCGCAGGTCTTAACAATAGGACAACCCTCATCGAATGGACCCTTGGCTGGCGTTTTCTTATCCGGACAGCAACCATATGCTGCTTTTCTGCAATCCTTCTTGGCCTTACATTTCTTTTGCTTAGGAGATTTGGTGAGAAGCGCTTCAAGCGTGTAAGGCGTGCTGTCTTCACCTTCTTCTGTAGTAGACCAAATATCAACCGTTGAACCTGATCCTTCGATGGTCGTTTCATCAGTGGCCCCACTCTCTGTAGTTTCTGTGCTTTCAGTGGGACTACTTTCTGTAGTCTCAGTGTTTTCAGTTGATCCAATTTCTGTAGTTTCCGATACATCAGTTGACGATGAAGATTCTGTACTTTCACTAGTCTCAGTACTGAAAGTAGATGCTTCTGTTGAACTAATTTCGGATGTTGACTCAGATGATACTCCTTCCGTTGTTGGCTCAGTCGATCCCTCAGTTGTGCTTTCCTCAGTTAAGCCCAGAGTGGTTGATTCTGAAACATCGGTAGATCCCGAGGTTTCGGTAACATCACTCGACGACACTGTGGTTTCGTCACTTTCGCCGGTTACTGTTGAATCCGTGTCATCTGTGGTTTCCGATATACCAGAATCAGTGGTACTAAGAGAGGAATCTGAGCTGGCGTCAGTTGTTTCTGTAATATCGGAAATGTCTGATGAGGAATCTGTCGCTTCAGAACCAGTTGAATCTGTGGTGACATCCGATCCAGTAACTGTGGAGTCAGTTGAAACATCGGTAGTAGTATCAGTTGTTTCCGAGGAATCAGTCGTACTTTCTGTTGAGTCTGTAGATAGAGGGGAGCCTGTTGTAGAATCAGCTGACACTGACGATTCTGTAGAGTCGGTTGATTCCGTGGAATGTTCGCTAGTTGATTCTGTTATGTCTGTGGATGAAGAAACTGTTGACTCTGTAGTGTCAGTAGAGGTAGACTCTGTAGTGTCAGTGGAGGTAGTCTCTGTAGTGTCAGTAGAGGTAGACTCAGTTGAGTCAGTCGTGTCAGTAGACACAGACTCCGTAGAATCTGTCGATTGCGTGGAATCTGTGGCCAACGATTCGGTGGATTCTGAAGATCCTGTCGTATCACTTGATTCCGTGGTCGACTCAGACAAACCGGTGACATCTGAAGAACTAACTGTAGACTCAGTGGAAACAGGTGATTCCGTAGTTTCAGGTGAAGCTGAGGATTCTGTCGATTCGGGAGATACGGTAGAGTCCGTTGAAGCTGAAACTTCCGTTGAGCTAGACTCATCGGTTGCTTCCGATGCAGTCGATTCTGTCGACTCGGGTGATGCAGATGACTCTGTCGACTGAGGAGACTCCGTAGTCTCAGTAATATCGGTAGATGTGGAAACATCGGTAGTACCCGGCTCAGTGGATTCGGTAGATTCTGGTGATTGTGAAGTTTCAGTTGAATCTGTAGATACAGGCGACGCACTTGTTTCAACAGATGATCCCTCGGGCGTTTGCTCAGATGAAGATACCTCAGTTGAACCAGATTCAGTGGTATCCGAAATTCCGGTAGTCGCACTGGATTCATCACCACTTCCTTCGCTCACAAGTGTAGTTTCCTCAGTGATATCCGTTTCTTCGCCAGATCCCTCAACGGTACTATATGGAATGTCTGTAGAAGTAACTTCACTCGATTCTCCTGTAGACGGTGAATCGCTTAGCATTAGTTCATCAGTAATCAGCGATGACAAAGTAGTAGGCTCTTCATCCAACTCAATGCCGTCGGAGATCTTCAGGTCCTCCTTTGTTTCCAAATCCAATCCCTCATCATCCTCGTCACACTCTTCTTCCTCGCTCGCATCTTCCGCTATCGGCGCCGCCGTACTATCAACTGGTATAAGTTCATCCTCAGTACAGGCTTGTGTATTGCACTTTTCAGAAAGCGATTCAATTTTAGATTCATCGCAGTTGAGCGACTTTGTGCCATTTGCCAAGCACAAAACTTCACGCTTACGTTCGCCGCCGCCGCATGGTTTACTACATGGCTCCCAAGGTCCAGTAAACCACTGACCAGGACACTCCTTTTCTTCGCCTTCACACTCTTGCTCACTTTCTGGCTTCGCTGTGGCTTCACATTTGGAGTCTTCAGCAGGTTTTATACTTTTACCATCGAACTCTCCACATATAACGATACGGGATTGTACGCCCTTGCCACACGCGGCAGAGCACGTACTCCACTCCGAGGTGAACCATTTTGGCTTACATTTCGACGATTCGCATGGTCGCGACAGTGCAGGTACTTCGGGCGCACAGAATTCTTCAGGATAAATTTTGCCTGATTTGGTTGCGCAAATGGCAGTGCGTGTTTCCGTCTTTTGTCCACATTCATCGCACTGTGACAGAAGAAATTGAATAGAAAGCAAATTTTAAACAAAATTTCGAACTAACCCCACTCCATTCGGAAATAATCCAATCCACACCCTCACAAGGAGCCAACATGCATTCCTTCTCAGTCGGTGGTTTCTCTTCCACACAGTCTTCTTCGGGCAGTATACGCTTACGGCCGTTCTCTTCAATATAGCAAGTCACTTTCCGTTTCTGCTTACCTTCGCCGCACAATTTGTCGCACTGGAAGTATTAGGATATTGAAAATAGAAAACATGAAGTATAGCGAGCTATCATAACTAACCGGCGCCCAAGGTCCCAAGTGATATTTAGGGCAGTTCTTCACATCTCTATTACACTCTTGTTGTGTGGCTGGTTTATTGCCCACTTCTTTCAGGCAAACTGAGTCTTCTTCTGCTGTGCGGTCACTACTCTCACAGTCACAGATAAAAATTAATATCATTTCGTAAATTTGTACATTTTCAATAGCCTCAACTTACCCATTTGGCGAGATACGTTCACAGCTAACTGTCCTATTCTGAACACCATCGGCTCCGCAGCCCTTCGAGCATTTTCCCCACTCACCTTCGACCCAGTGGGGTGCGCATGGGCTTTCGCCACATGCTTGCTCCTCGTCTGGCTTAGCGCTGGCATCACACAAATTGGGATCAACCTCTTCGAGAGTCATGCGGTTGTTGCAGGTCACCGTACGAGACTGTGTACCGCCGCCGCAGGGCACACTGCACGGCTCGAATTCCATGTGTGTCCACGAGTACTCCACTGGCGGTGCATTGTGTATCGTTTCTGGTATGCTGTACTCATAATCTATGCTCACATTCTTATCTTGCACCAACATCATGATTGTAATTGACTCCGTTGTCGGGCCACTGCACGTCAGTTGGTCGGGTGCGGCAAAACCTGCCGGCTTTCTTTGATAATTCCACCAGCAGCCCGCGTAGAACATTGGGCGCGGGAAATCAATGCGCCAATTTCCGTTCAAGTAGTAATGTCCGGATGAGTTGCGGCAGGCCAAATAGTTGTTCGAGGGTGCAGTCTCCTGCACGCGTATATTGGTGGCGCCATCGGGAATGAGTACGATGTCATTGTATCCTTGAGAGGAATATAATAAATCACACCGCCAGCAAAAACCAAAACAACAAACAAAAAAATACTTAAATCAGATAAATCAACCGACTACGGCTACTTACCAACTGGATAGTTGTTGGCAGTGAAAGTATTCGCTATCGTGTGGCACGTGCTGCCATCTCCACCGCATTTGCGGCACTTGTCCTCCTTCGCATTCGAGCCCAGCATCATATCACAACCCACCGGCTGACATTCGCCGTCCACGCACACATCAAGTTCACGGTCATTGCAGCGTGTACCATCGATGACCTTCGCCTTCTGGCGATAGTAGAAACGCTCGCCCACCGGCATACAATTCAGCTCACACGGATTGGGTGCGTTCGTGTATGGCACCCATTCATAGGTCACGCCATCGAAGGGTACACGATTGAAGCGCGCACATTGCTGCGATCTAAAGTCGGGCTCCTCTTCGGGGCAGTCTTGGGTATTGCAGGAGAAGTACTTGCGATTGCCACCCCTGCAAAGCGGCGCCCCATTGGGTCTGCGATGGGAAATGGAATATTAATATTATGTGGGTTCTGAAAATGACTGAAGCTGGACTCACGCAAGTCTTCGACAGTCGCGCGTTTGAAATGATACGCCGCCACCGCATGAGCGTGAACACTCTGATGGTGAGCTCCAGTCAGTCCATTCATCAGCATCATCACCCTCGCCGCCGGGCACAATGTAACTCGCTGGTAAGTACATATTAGCGCCATATTGTCTTTTCTGTCGCGTTCCATACTGCAACGGAAATATATGCATAGAATTATTATTATTTTTTTTTTAATTTTGTGTGGAAACTACGTACATATGTACGTATGTATTTAAAGCCAAGCAGTATAATAAACACTTTCAACTTACAAATCTGGAGTGTGAGGATTGAACACAGAAGAGCAGGATGAATAATATCAAGGCCGTTGAACTAAAAACAAAGAAGAGAAATTATATTAATTGTAATAAGTTATAGATACTAAGCATAATTTCTATTTATCTTATAAAGTTAACTAAAAAATAGCTGTACACTTTCGTTAACCATCTCATGTAATCGTCGCTCCTTTAGCATTATAAGGGCGGTCATGAGGAAATAAGCCGCTACAACAACAACAACCAATCGCTGTGGATCTCTAGTGGCGGTCTATCCCAAAAAACTTTTCAAGAATGCCCTGTTTCAGAATTTTATTGAAAAACACCTGGTCTCAGAATTTAGTTGAAGAACGCCCTATCTCAGAATTAAGCCCAAAAATTCCCTATCTCACTTGAAAATGTATTGAAAATGTGTTGAGTTCTTAAATAGAGCGTTCCTCAACAAAATTCTGAAATAGGGCATTCTTAGAAAGGTTTTTCAGATAGCGCGTTTTCAAACTGGCTGCCGAGATGGGTCGATCTTCCACTCAGCAGTCGAAATAGTACTTGTATTCTCTGCTCTGAGGAGATCGAAAATTTAAGTACAGCGTAGGAAGCGGCCTCACTTTTTCCACATGCATTTTTGGACCAACCTATTAAACATTGGACTTTTGGTTTTAGTTACTTCAGAGCAGTGTGCATTTTGGATCCTTTTTTAGAATGAATAAATCCCCCTGTGGATCTCATTAGTCCCAAGCTGGGCCCTGATTTACAAAAATAACGATAATAAAATATTCAGCAAACTTCTTTTTTTCTCGTTAATTTTTGCCGACACCATAAATATTCCGACCAAGTTATCGATCAGGTAATAAAGTTTTTGGTGGAAATCTGTTTATACAATACATTTCTGCCCTTTTGACAATATTTTTTCACTCACTTGACGACAAACTACACTGATGTCTAGTTCTGAAAACGAGTTTTTAGATATCACTCACAAGGCTAAATTTAAAAACTTTGTTGGAAAATAAACGAAAATGTTACCAAGTAACATAAAAGCAATTTTTGAAAAATCGAAATGAAATTCCATTTGCTATGCAAACAACAGCATATTTCCCATTATCGTCTGTTATGTTTGTATGCACATATCTCTAAGTACGTGTATACAAGCCAACCCTGCAGTAAAAAACTGGTCGATTCCATAAAAAGTACCACTAGTACCAGTTAAAAAATTACCAGTTAATAGCCAGCCCCGAAATATAATCGGTTTGCCTTAAGGCTGTTATCTACATAGAAACAGCGCAACACTCAACGTGCAGATAAAAGTTTGACTATGTTAACCATTTTTGATTTAGGCTACCTATGCTTGAAATCACCGAAGTGGTTCTTCTTACCATGGTAGGGGTCATATGCAGTTCTCTGACATGGACAAGTCTTTAGACCTGATCCTGGGCATGAAGCTGCCGTGGAAACCAAACATTGAGAAAAGCCTGAGGAAGTCATTGGTTGCCGTATACTCCTGTGTGAGCGCCATTGGTAGGAGAAATTGGCATCCGACCCAAAGTAATTTATTGGCGCTACGAAACCATAGTTAAGCCTATTCAGGTTTCCCAACCCTTTTTTGGTGGCATTCACTAAAGGAAACTACACTAGCTAAGCATCTAAAAGTGCATACAAAGGTGTTATCAGGGCACTAAGAATCACTCCGACATTGGCGTTCAACGGCTGTCGATATCGCAGGCATAACTACCGCAGCATAAACTTCTTTCAGACCAAGGGAAACCGGTTGGTTAACAAGCTCGAAGACGGAGAGAAGTTTCAATTTCATCTGCTGATTACTGCGTCTCTGAAATGGTACGAAATAGCCTCAAGGGATAATTGCGTGGTACAGCGTGACTGAAGGAAGAGAGCAATGATAATTTTCATGGATCGATTGAAACTAAATGCAGGCAGCTATTAAAGAAGCAGTCGACTTACTGCTAAGGAGACTGATGACACTTAGTGAGGTAAGCAAATATTCTGATATCCAAGCGGCTCTCAGCGCCCCGCACGCTATAGTGCTGTATTCGAAACTACTCAGGGAATGAAACTACTCAAGGAATTATTAGACTTATTTGGGTTCCGCGCCATTGCAAGAATTTGCTTGGCTGGTGACTTGGCGCATAAAGGTAGACTTAAAACGTAATCTCCAGATAGGTAGCAGTTCAGGGCACATCTGATCTCCTGTAGTTTACCCTTAAACGGTTGGGGCCCACGTCAACCCAGCCTGCGATGTGTGAATCGGGGACGGTTAAGAGATTAGAATTCACTTCGTTGTAATACTAGGATCACACCTTTCGCAGCTGCCATGAGGATAATGAGATGGAATCAGCCCTATTAGGATGCTCAATTTCTGCGAGACTTGACGTTTTTTTATTATTGGGACATTTGCCCTGCTCGAAAGACGCGTCAATGGCGGTTGAAACCACAAGGGACTTGTGAGGGGATAGTAACTAAGACTGATACAAAATATGGACCACTTGAAGACTACCCTAAGGTTAGTCCAAATTACTGCAGGGCATATATATTACGTACATATGTACGTACGTACATGCATATATACAAATGAAAATGTTTGTTTGTATATTTGTATATATACATAAGTATGTAAATATACACGCTCATACCTAAGCTCAAGCTATCATATTTGCCGTGCTAAATATGTTTGTATGCGCGTGGCAGCTGCGCTTAGGATAACAAAACCCTGCTATGGCAATAATAAACAATTCATTTAGTTAATTTATTTATCTTCGCACATTTCTCACTCATTAAAAAAAACGCAACGAATGAGTCATACACACTGCATTTATGGGTGCACTTGAGCGTATGCTTCTGTGACAAGATAAATATGTAGATGAAGGGCTCGAAAGCAGTGAAAGAAAGGCTAAGAAGCATCGCATACTTTAGAGAAGACCTGCGTATGTTAGAAATATGTATGTATGCGTGAGTGTGTGAACGCAAATAGCTTTGTATGACAACAAGTTGCACTTTCATTGCGTGCCACAACTACATGCAACCCTAACCGTAACCATAACCACAGCCATTGCCATTGCCACCAACGCCGACACATCGCACTGGCACTGGCACTGGCACCGGCACCGGCACACCGCAATGGTCGACAAGTGCATTAGCTCCTCTGAACACAGCATGCAACTTGCAAGTTAATTAATTTGTATGGCTTCGCACGCTTCATAAACAGTCGCAAAGGCAAATAAATAAATGGTTGAATAATGGCATAGCAGAATAAACCAATAAACGCATGTTTATTTACATACTTCGAGTTATATGACGATCGCAAATGGAATGCAGTTAATCGGCAGCAAAGCTCGATTGTTGCTAAGTGAGCTGCATCCAATTCACATTTTCTGGGTGTAGGTCAGTAAAGGGAATTAGTGCTTTAGAAGTAGAGAGAAAGGTTGTAGACCAAAAAATTTTATAATATGTATGTGTGTTTGTTAGGGAGGTTCATAGCACATAAAAGTCTGAAGGTTTCATAGAAAAACCTCCTCTCTAGGTGCAAAATGAGGACTTTCGCGAAAATTTCAAAATATTAAAACAAAAAAAAACTCACTCACGACACTCACTTATTTTGATCGGACCGAAACTCCTTGAGGTATAGCTGGTCAAAGTCGAAATTTGTCAAATTTTTACGATCTAAAAAAAAATGTTTTCCAACTCTGATAGCGACCCTTAAAAGTTATTTTAAATTTGTTAAAATTTTTTTGGTTGTTTTTATTTTGTATGTAAAGCAAACTAATTAATAATTCCATTCGAAATTTAGATTACGATATTTTTAAGCACCAACCTAGTGTGTGTAATTTTTAGGGTAAACATTAATTTTAAAAATTCCAATGGTCTAATTAAACAGCTCGGCTTCTCTTTCGCAAATCGCTTTAATGCACATATGTACGTTTGTTTGGTCGAACGTAGTGGCACACTTAACTTAAACAATGCATTATCTTCAGTTTTGCATAAATAAAAACATTCCATCGAGAAATTGTATTTAAATGAAAACTTAAAAAAGATATGCTAAAAAAGTTAACAATAAACACAAGTGCTTATATACCCGTAGCTGTGTAGGTAGCGTATACTCCCAGTAGTACAAAATAGCTGCGACAGATAGGTCCTATGCTGATTTTTTTTAATTTGGTGGCACACTCTTCAAACTTTACAGATATGCTGTTTTTGATGCCAACTTCCCTTGCCTCTTACATGAACATTCCATTTGAAAACTTTTCAAAGTTATTTAAAAAAGCAACAAATACGACTCTTTCGAGTGACATTAAAAAATTAATAATTTTGGTACTTTTTCGCCTAAATAAACGTTTTAGGTTAAAATACTTGATTTATTTTTTATTGTAATTGTTTCTGGAACTCCATTGATTGAAATAAATGCAAGAATAATGGTTTGTCATTTTTTGTTCTGGCGAGAGAAGGGAGTACCACCAGAAAAGAAACAACTCGTGAGATTTGCTCATAAATGTACATACATATATTAACATATATGTATTTGTTGTACATATGACTTTTTCTTCTTTCAATAAAACACAAATATTCGCCACTAAGCAGGTTAATGCGTTAACAAAATAAAAACAAAAACAAACCAAAAAAAAAACAATGTACATAACAAAATCTGTTACAGTCAGTGCAGATAAAAACATTCGCAAAATTTATATATAAAAAATTTAGATCACTGCATATCTCAAGGCGCTCTACTTCCTGTTCGCAATCCGATCATCAACCGCCGCCGACCGCCGCACGCATCGCAAATATACACGCGGCACCAAAACAATGCCAACGAACTGAGCATAAAAATACATTAAATTAAATTAAAAAAAAAAAAAAGTTACAAAAAATATTGTTATTACACAGACAGTGTGACGCCAAGTACAAGCACACAAACATCAAGGCAACTTCGTGCCGCTGCCACACCTTAGAGCAGATTTCGTATATGCCGCAAATGCACTGCTACATACTACATACTTATAAGACGTTTAGACGGCGCATACGTCATAATACATTCAGTTTAAGTAGAAAGGAATTGCAGC